GGGGGGGAAGGAGAAAACTATTCGTGAACCATTATACATTATAACACATTATTCGCCATATATATATATACATATATATATATGTATATATATATATATATGTACACTTGATAGAAATATGCGGATATATATGCGGAAAAAAAGATATATAATAGAATACTCTTAACTCTTATAACCAGTGCTTCGGAAAATTTACAGCCCAGTAGTCAACATAAACTAATGATCAACCTATGATGATAAGAGACTAATTAACCTAAACTAAATGATAAACCTATCTCCGAAAATATTCTATTGCAATCTCAGTAGAGAAAAATTAGACTTTTTTTCCATCCTAACTACCATTGTTGCTTTTTATATTCTTGGATCAATGATTCTTCCTTTTAAATGATAAAGACGCATTGCTTCTGAAAATAGTGTTCGATTTCCGTTAATAATTCTAAAAATAATGCCAATTTATTGCTTCCAAAAACAAAATGCGTGATAGCCAGCTTCGAGACCATAGTATCTCATCAGTCTACCTTCTGGTTTTCTTTGTCTGACTCTCCAACTCAAGAGAGATGATTGGAATCAACTTTCTACAAATGAACTGATTATTTTAATCGGTTCCAATTAAGTCTGGTGGCGGTAATTTGCTTTACGACAGAGACTGCTCGTCTGTGAACTTTTGTTTTAGACATCATGTTATCGAATGTTGATAGCGCAAGTCATTCTTAGAATGGCTAGCATGGAGTAATTTAAACAGCAACATGAATATTAAATATTATTGTTTTAGGTCGTCACTCTTTGTGTAAGTTAGAAGTGATTACTAATTAGCTATTAAATTTGCGTAGAGTGTTCAGAGTAGACCGATTTGTTAACTCATTCCCAGACGAAAGAGCATACATTCAACAATTAGCAGTGCTTAGAAAACTGTCTTTAAGCAAATAGAAGGATGTTAAAATTTTTTAAAGAAAGTAGATATTTCATACTATCAGCTACCAACTTTACAAAAAAGAAGAAAGAAAAAAAACATCGCAGTCTAAGGATTCCTCGTTATAGACAGACACATTTGATAATAATGTAAAGAAAAAAGATTGTAGGTAATTTGCTCTGAATCTAATTTAATAATTTCTAGTACTGACTACTCATTTAGCTTTAAGAGACATTGCAAACCTTTAATTTCAGTTCGAAATAATCATTTATATTATTAATATATTTGAATAAATGCACAAATGTCTTGTTTTTCAAGATGACATGAAAAAATTTGCGAAATTAGTTTTTGTTCTTTTGAGAAAAAATTTGACCCTTATTAGTGTAATTAATTACAATGTAATCAGGCATTAATCACTGTGTAGTTAGCTTTGTAAAAGAAAAGAATTGAAAAGTCTTAAATTTTCCGATTTACATTCTGACCACACATTAGAGGTTTTTATCAGATATAGCACTACACATTGTAGAAATGAAAATACATAAATACATTAAAAAGATTGTAGTTTTAACAAATCTCTTCTAAAACAAGAATAAATTAATGCGTTACTAGATTTCGTGATTTTTGATATCCTTACATTTAGATGAAAATATTTATACATATCGTTTTAATAAGTGTCAACGAACTATCAATGATTCGAATCAGTAATGCATTGTTAGTAGAAATCATCACGCTATTGATAAAGATACACGAACACTTTGTCGCACATTTTTAAGATACTTTACACGTTATTCTCCCATCAACAAACTATAAATAAATGCTACAATGTAGAAATTTGTTTTAAAGAACAGCCATGAATATTCTCTAAAGTAGAAAAATTGAAGCGAATTTCCCTTTGTTATCATATAGACCATGCAAGATATCCGTGTATAGTTTTAAATAGGTTAAAAATCTGCATTTGTAATTAAACAATAAATTTGTAAAAATGGTTTAGTATCAAGAAAATATAAGCTTGTTTAACTTATATCAGAATTGCTACGATCAGGATGATTTTTTTTAAGTTGTAGCAAAACTAAAAAAAAGATATATATATATTTATATATGTAGATGAATTTAAGTGTTTCGTATTCAGCAAAAAAAAATCTGTTACTGTGTTAGACGAGTGTACAAAAGACTTCGGGTAGTTTTTGTAATAAGGTTTTCACTTAGTTTTTTCTTATAATTTACTTTCTTATTATTTACGTTTTTTCTTATAATTACTTAATTTACATTCACCATAATTCCTAACAAATTATAATCTAATATGAATATGAATTCACAGTCAATGATCTATTATTAAATTTCAAACAATCACTCCTTGAGTTTTATAAATCTTTTGCGTACAATAATAAAACATAAATTTTTACATAAATATATTATATTACAACCGTCGTTGAACAGCCGACCAAATTTTGGGTTTACAACTACCAATGTTCAAGTCCTTAGCTTTGTAATTTTGAACCCAATCCAGAAGACAAGGGAGCTCCTGTATCAAGTATTGGGAGAAATTTGCCTTCAAGGAGGACTTTTTGATGAAACTAACCAGCATTTGCGTTACATGGAGAGGAAAACCACGAAAATCTCCCACGGATAGCTTAACAGCAAGGGGACTCTAACCCATGATCCGTCTGCCTCTGAAGATATTTTACTTCAACACTGTAGTCAGTGTAAGCCGGGTGCGAAATTCGAATCGACCAATCATCGCTGGGATTCGAACCCGGTTCGCCTCATTGGAAAGTGAGCGCTCTATCCCCTCAGCCACTACGGCTCTTTTATTTATATAATCGTTTTTTAATGCGATTGCTTTTTATACCGTAATTCATTCGAATTCGAATATAATGACTTTTTAATCGTAATTCGAAACATGCTCTGAAATGAAATTGTACATCCGAGAAATAAGCAGTCAAGGAATTTAGTCGCGTTCGGAAACAATTAATTAGATTTGGTAAAACTAAATTTAAAAAAAAAAACAATGCAAATGTTGACACATAAAGAGATATGAGGATTTAACATGCGATGCATCTGCATTATTCCGTAGTTCACGACGAACAAAAATAAGGGCTGTAATGGAGTCTCTTGTCAGCATGTAACAACTTACCACACTTTATGTCATCTCTTACATAACTTTATACCATCTTTTATACTATATATGTTGCTGTTATCATTTTAATCATTTCCCCTATATATTATCATTTCAAATCATTTTAATCGAGACTCATTCAAATCATTTTAATCGAAATCGCGAAGTTCAAACATTCGGCTGCCACTTTCACGTTTAGAATAAATATTACGGACTCTAATAATCTGCTATTTATGTTTTCATCGCAAAAAAAAAAACAAAAAAAAACTTCATATGAAGGGAAAAAAAGGCCTATAGGCATATAAAATTTTTATTGCTTTGTTTATTGTAAACATTAAATATTTTTTTTTTACTATTCTGTAAAAAATAATTCCTTTTCAAATGAAAGAAATTAAACATCATTAAAATTAAGCTATTAATAAACATTTAAGCTGGAATGGAAAAGGAAATTATAAAAATAAAAGCAAGAGAACAGAGGCAGAAGTAGAAAACAATGCATTCCAAAAACGAAAACCTCAAACAATAATATGAAGTGTTTAAATAAATTACAAAGATAATTGCTGAAACAACAGTAGTAATTTTAATCAATATAAAACATAAATATTGAATCTACATTGAAAATAACCACATGAACTGTTTGCCTCCCATGTGAGAACAAAAAAACAAAAAAATTATGTCAATAAATTAATCAATCTTTTTAAAACAACACAGGTGATAAAAATAAAATTCAATTTAATTATCAAAATAAAAAGGAATTGTGTAAATAAATGAAGGGGACGATCATCACTTTTAAATAAATTTTTCACATTGATAGCTTTCTCATCTCTCCCATTGCACTTGGAAATTAGTTTTTCGCATTTCTACTAACACAAGGCAGGATAAATTATTTGGATATCATAAGTATATTATCACCAATCTCTTGCATTGGTTTATAATTTAGTTAAAACACATCAATGCTTGTTGCTATGATGTTAAAACTGAGTTTACGAAAAAAACTAGTACGTAGTGCATGTTAAAACTAAGCTGATATTTTCTTATGCTATGTGGATTAATATATAATATTTTTGGGGTGTAATATTTTCTTAATATTGTTGGGGAGTAACAATAGTTCTCAAAATTTTAGGAATTTATTACGTCTACTAAATATTGACAAAATAATAAATTTTTATTTAATTTTTTAGCTTATTTGTAACTTAACTAAATTTAAATCAATTATGATTCATGAATTTATTTTTATTTTCGTATGAAATACTTAGGGGACTTTTTGAACTATTTAATTATTGAGTAAGACTAACTGCGACCCGGGCTAACGAAACTCATGATTATACTAGAGGTAACTAACTCGTTCCTGAAAAAAATAATACTTGTAAAGCACTTGTACCATCCTTTTTTCTTCAAAAAAATAAGTAAAATTTAATAAATAAATTAATTAATGAGTAATAATAAAACTGTCCCAATAAAAATACTTTGGGTAGAAATGGGTTTGCTTTTCCAACATTAAAGGGTTTAGATTAAATTTCTACGCTATCATAAAATCCCTTGTGGATTACTATATAATCCTTTTGCTTGACGATATTCAAGAAATTTTTTTTTATAATTTAGTTATCAACTCAACATTTTATATATTAAAGAAAAAGAAAAAAAATATTTTTAAATTTTTTACTCACGTATTTGAATTCTTTAATTTTTTCAAATGTTCCTCTCTTTTAAGCGAGAGAGATATCCAATTTTCTTTTTTACCGCAGACTTAATAAAAGATTTTCTTTAAAAAATTACAATTCCTGCAATATGAATAGAAATAACCTTTTATATTCTCAAACAGTTCGAGTTCGAAATTCCATTCTTAGAACCGCTGTAGGTCACACACCGGTGAGGCCCGCTAACTTCCAGCAGGCCATCCGATCCAGGAAGTAAAAAACCGAAAGAACTCTCACAGAAATTCCCACTGCAAATTTAAATGGTAGTTTCACTTACCTGTTTACGAATTATAGTATTCCTTTTGGCTTTGAACACCTAACTCATATTGAAAACATGTAGTAAGTTTAACGCCAACAACTGAAATAATCCAAGGTGTTTATCACAACTTAACATTCTTTATTAAAACACATCGAGAAGAACCACAAAGGTGGACAGAAACCTGTTGGATACTCAGGCGGGCTTATGAAACTAGTTTGCTCTTGTTGTTCGTTTACCGCGTGGACAGGTAAGGAAAGGGAATAAAAAGGATAATACAAGTTATAGATATTCCCCAAAAAAATCCCTACATTTTTCAGGGTTAGGAATTGGGGATGAAGAGAAAAAGCGCAGGTGATAATTTTCTTTCTTTCTTTTTTTTCTTCTTCCCTTTCCTTTTATTTTATTTTATTTATTTATTTATTTTTACGATTTTTTTTGGCTGTATCGTAAAGCTGGGTAGAGATATTAAAATTAATTTTATTGAAGGCAAATAATGTTATTTTAATCACTGGTTTTGCACAATATTTTGTTTACAGTTTTTTGATTGTTTATATTTTTGTCATAAAATAAATTAACACCATTAACTCAAGAATTTTCCTGAAAGAAGTACTTTTAATTTGAGTAAAATGTGAAAAATTATAGCAAAATTACTTCATACATCGCAAAAGATTATTTCTTATTGAAATAACATTGGTCATTACTGCAGTAAAAATGTTTAGTATTTGTTTGTTAAAAGATGGTAATAGTTAGACGTTAATAATAATAAGAAAAAGTTGGCTTGTTTGCTGAAAAAGTAAACTGAGAGCTAAATGATTAGGTGAATGATTGAAAGAATTTCCTTGAGAACTAAATGTAAGTTTTTAATTTTTAAATTTTTTTTAGTTCCACCATTTAAACACTTTTTTCTTACTAGGAGAGATTCACAGATCTTGTAGTACATCTCAGGTAAAAAATATTAAAGTGAATTAAAAGAAAGTGGCTAACTCTGTAGTTCCACCATTTAAACACGTTTTTCCAGGTATGAGAGATTCACAGATTTTGTAGAAATTCTCAGATATTTATATACTGAATTGAACAAAAAGAAAGTAGTTAATTCCATAGTTCCACTATTTAAATATAATTTTCCAAGTATGGGAGATTTACAGGTTTTGTAGTAATTCTCAAGTATAAATATATTAAAGTGGACTAAGAGAAAGCAGCTGATTCCATAGTTCCACCATTTAGACACATTTTTTTTTCCAAGTATGAGTGATTCACAGTTTTGTAGTGATTACCAGGTATTTATATAGAGGAGTGAACTTAAAAGAAAACAGCCTATTCCAGATATCAGAGTGGGCCGCTGCGCGGCCCAGGCACCCAGCTTGATTTAAATAAAGAAAAAGAAAGAAAGATATCAGAGTCTTTTAAAAGCTACCATAATGTTGCTTACACCAAAATGTTTTTAAATCAATGTATATAGTTACTTCATGATGTATGAGATAGGTGCCGCTGCGCGGCCCAGGTGACCAGTTTAGGTAAATAAAGTAAGTAAGTAAGGAAATCAGAGTCTCATAGATTTTGTAGGTTGTATAAAAATACTGATGTAAATAAAGGGAAAGCAATTTATTCCAGATTTGAAAGGTTCTAATATTTTGTAATGCACTAAGGAAAAAAAAATGAAAAAACTAATGTACGCATAGTATAATTTTGTCGTCGTTTTTTATTATTTTATTATTATTTTTTTATGAATTTTTCAATTTAATTTTAGAGTGTGGTAATAAGTTAAATAATAAAACTAATAAAAATTGAATTTAAAATTATAAATTAAATTCCTATATTAAGATATCGGGTTAAGTTAGTTATTACTTTCCGTTTTTATCCTTTTTCTGTAATGCCAGTCACCTGTCTTTACTTTCTCTTAAAACATTTACCATAGAATAATGAATCCCTGATCATGTTTGTTAGATCTCTAATAAATTAATATCGTGAGAGAAAATTTCGATTTAAATAACCATTCAACACAGATTTACTAGATAGATAACGACATCTATTAATATTGAAATCCATTTCTAAAGCGTATTTATTTTTTAATAATACATGAGTAAATGGAAAATTCTCCATTTACAGTAAACTCAAAACATTGTTATTGTATTATTGCCGGATTTCGTCGTAGAACTTATTGTTTCTTTAAATAGGTCACCAACTAAAAACTACGAAAACAGCTTTTATTTTGGTATTGTTTTAATAGGAATTGTTAAAAGTAACATATTTTTTAAGAAACTGTTTGGCAAGCCAGTGCTGTTATAGTTGTGACGCATAATATTGAATATCAATATCGAAAATCATATCGAAGGAGATTTTAATTTTAGCATTTCGGACAATCTACTGAAAGTTGCGTGATTAATAGCACAATAACTGAAAAAGACATAAATAAACAATATTCTTTATATATAAAATTACAGCATGATGTGAATTAAGAACTTGGATGGATAATTAAAATTATCTAAAATAAATTTAATAATTCAAAAAATTAGTTGTAAAATATTTTATTTTAATGACAACGTTTATTGAGAGAAATTATGTATTCTTTAATGAGGAAGAAATGGATTACTTATTGAATTTGAAAATAATATTATATTAAAAGAGCTCTTTGAAGAATGTTTTAATGAAAAAACTCAGCGACTTTAATATTTTTATTTTTATTTTCTCACTACCAGTACCAAACAGAGATATTATATGTGATAAGTGAAAAAAAAATTGACACTTCGCTCTGTATATGCTATCATCAATTTTTAATGCGCAATTCCAAATTTCTACTGCAATTAACGTAAATTTCTCAGATTAAGCTCGTATTTCATGTATATCCATCTAATCATGGCTCTATTCATTTTTCAATGGCAATTAATGTAAATCTCCGATCAAATTTGTACATACTTCTAATCATAGTTACTTTATTATAATGTTACCACATTGTTACATAATTCAAAATGTTCTATTCACTGTATATAATTTTCATGATGAATGGGGTAGGGGACGCTGCGCGGCCTAGGCACCCAGTTTTGTTTAAATAAAGAAGAAGACACTTCGCTCTGAATTTATTTCGAACACAAATGAATGAGCTAAAGCCATTAAATTAGCTGGTACTCATGTAAACATCTTATATAGGTATAGGTGGCTACGCGTAGTAAGAATTCTACTTGAATTCTCTTTTTTTCTCATCATTAATTGTTGTGTTGACAAACTATTGTTGTAGATTATTTTGTAACCCGGAATATTTATTTATATAGCTTATTAGATTCGAAAATAGAACAGAAAAGAAATTTATTTTAACCTTTTCGAAAAAAAAATTCTAAAAAGGAATATTTTTGGAATACCTTTCTGGTGCTGAAAAAAAATAATATACATAAAGTTTTTAGTTGAGTAATAAATAATTCTACAGCAATACACTGTGTAGATTGTAGAATTATGACACAACAACTTTAAAATAAAAAGCTTTAAAAAAAAACATTTCATTTAAATCAATGGCATTGCAGCTGTTACTTACTCTAAATTTTATATCTTTATTAGTTGTTTGCTTTTTAATTATTACCACTTAAAATGATTATTTATTCAATATAATATTCTATTAGAAACTTCAGTTGAAAAGGCTGCAATGCTCCTCCATAATACTCCCCTCCTCTAATCATGCATTATAATCTTTTTCTTGGAGAAAAGCAACTGCCGTCGAAAGAAGTAAGCTAGGTATTTTGCAAAATATACAGTATAAAACCGCTGTTATAAAGGGTATTCTACGGATATATAGATGCATATATATAAACAGGTTTCGTATTTAACACAATAGGTAATATTTCCAAATAAATTAATTTAATCGCTAAATGTTATCTATCTAATTTTTAAGTGAAAGCTAATAAAAAGAAATTCGGGACTATTTTATAGAAATTTTGACACCACCTTTTGGTATTTCGATTTGACAGTACGATCCCTGAAAATGTATCCGAAATTCTCTAAATGGAAATAGAAAAAAAATTTTTTTTTTTTAAAAAAAGAATGTATTTAATTTTATTTTTTATAGTAGTATAATTTTATTTGACATATTTGATCATTTAGTTTCATTAAAATAATTTTATCTCTAATATTTAGTCTACGCCGAATCTATATTATAATTAATAAATACTGTTTAAATTTCTTATAAAGTTTACTATTTCTTTTAAAACAGAGAATTCTTGTTATAAAATAGTATTTTTCCTTCTTAAAAAGATACAAAAAAAATCTTAAAAGAAGAAGTAAAAAAACCTACTGTCCTATAATATTGTATTTTAGTTAGACAACAAAATATCTTTAAAGAAACAAAATTGTCCTTATATGTTGCAGTAACATATTAAAATATGTTGCGCTCCTAAATTTTCAATTTTTTTTTTCAAATATTGGGAAAAAAAGACCATATTTTCTAAATTCTTACGTATTTTTCCTTTTATGGAAAAATCCCTTTTTCATTTTTTTTCTAATGAAATCGGTCATATTCTCAGTTTCAGTAACTAATATAAGATAAATCTCTACTGCTCATAAGCAATTATTCTAGAATGTTTTCACTGTATTCTCGAAACTTAAAAAACTAGCAAATAAAATATAAATGAAATTTTATTTATTGTGTATGATGCTTTCTAAAATCTAAATTTTTCAGTTTTCATTAAAATACTACCATTTTTTGAAGCAGATTAAATATTTAATTTTATTTGATGAACTATAGAAAACCTATAATTTTTGCAAATGTTTTAAATTTATATAAATATATATATATATCACTCATTTGAAATATATTATAAAATNTATAGATGTAAATACCAATTTAAATAAGTGTTTTAAGTCATAACTTAAATTAGTGATTTAAATCACTACAATTCTGGAATATAAATAACACTCTGAATACAGAAACGTTTAATGTAAATGTCTTAAAAATACGCTTAAAAGGATATTCTACTAGAGTAAAAGAACTATTCATTCAGCAAAACGTTTTACATTCATAATCACAATTTACAGTAAGATGATGTGAAAAAAATAAATAAAATAATATAAACTATATACATTTGAATAAACAAAAAGTCGAAATATATTCACTTAGTATTAATCCCTAAATAATAATAGAAGTAATATCCTTTGTTCTCAAATTTGACGAGGAACAAAGTACCGGAAATTCTTATTAACATTACAGATTCTTTTTGTGTTTTCAGCTTCTCTGTTACATCTCTGCA